ACGTTTACATACTCTGCTGGGAGACGTTACATAACCTGCTGGAGACGTTACATACTCTGCTGGAGACGTTACATACTCTGCTGGAGACGTTACATACTCTGCTGGAGACGTTACATACTCTGCTGGAGACGTTACATACTCTGCTGGAGATGTTACATAACCTGCTGGAGACGTTACATACTCTGCTGGAGACGTTACATACTCTGCTGGAGACGTTACATACTCTGCTGGAGACGTTACATACTCTGCTGGAGACGTTACATACTCTGCTGGAGACGTTACATACCCTGCTGGAGACGTTACATTACTCTGCTGGAGACGTTAAAATAACCTGCTGGAGACGTTACATACTCTGCTGGAGACGTTACATAACCTGCTGGAGACGTTACATACTCTGCTGGAGACGTTACATACTCTGCTGGGAGACGTTTACATACTCTGCTGGAGACGTTACATACTCTGCTTGAGACGTTACATACTCTGCTGGAGACGTTACATAACCTGCTGGAGACGTTACATACTCTGCTGGAGACGTTACATACTCTGCTGGAGACGTTACATACTCTGCTGGAGACGTTACATACTCTGCTGGAGACGTTACATACTCTGCTAGAGACGTTACATACCCTGCTGGAGACGTTACATACTCTGCTGGAGACGTTACATAACTGCTGGAGACGTTACATACTCTGCTGGAGACGTTACATACTCTGCTGGAGACGTTACATACCCTGCTGGAGACGTTACATACTCTGCTGGAGACGTTACATAACCTGCTGGAGACGTTACATACTCTGCTGGAGACGTTACATACTCTGCTGGAGACGTTACATACCCTGCTGGAGACGTTACATACTCTGCTGGAGACGTTACATACTCTGCTGGAGACGTTACATACTCTGCTGGAGACGTTACATACCCTGCTGGAGACGTTACATACTCTGCTGGAGACGTTACATACCCTGCTGGAGACGTTACATACTCTGCTGGAGACGTTACATACTCTGCTGGAGACGTTACATACTCTGCTGGAGACGTTACATACCCTGCTGCGGGACGTTACATACTCTGCTGGAGACGTTACATACTCTGCTGGAGACGTTACATACTCTGCTGGAGACGTTACATACTCTGCTGGAGACTTTTACATACTCTGCTGGAGACGTTACATACTCTGCTGGAGACGTTACATACTCTGCTGGAGACGTTACATACTCTGCTGGAGACGTTACATACTCTGCTGGAGACGTTACATACTCTGCTGGAGACGTTACATACTCTGCTGGAGACGTTACATACTCTGCTGGAGACGTTACATACCCTGCTGGAGACGTTACATACTCTGCTGGAGACGTAATGATGAGGCTACAGTCATGTACTCCGTTAATTGCTAATTTTAATTAATGGAAAATGATCAGTTAATTAAAAAAATTAATGTCAGGAATTATTTTCTTTTATCTATCAACGAGAATTTCAATTACAGACTAAATCTAACGTTGACTTGACGCAGTACAGTACGTCGCTGTTTAACGTTGACTTGACGCAGCATAGTACGTCGCTGTTTAACGTTGACTTGACGCAGCATAGTACGTCGCTGTTAACGTTGACTTGACGCAGCACAGTACGTCGCTGTTAACGTTGACTTGACGCAGTACAGTACGTCGCTGTTAACGTTGACTTGACGCAGCACAGTACGTCGCTGTTAACGTTGACTTGACGCAGTACAGTACGTCGCTGTTAACGTTGACTTGACGCAGCACAGTACGTCGCTGTTAACGTTGACTTGACGCAGCACAGTACGTCGCTGTTAACGTTGACTTGACGCAGCATAGTACGTCTCTATTAACGTTGACTTGACGCAGTACAGTACGTCGCTGTTAACGTTGACTTGACGCAGTACAGTACGTCGCTGTTAACGTTGACTTGACGCAGCACAGTACGTCGCTGTTAACGTTGACTTGACGCAGCATAGTACGTCTCTATTAACGTTGACTTGACGCAGTACAGTACGTCGCTGTTAACGTTGACTTGACGCAGCATAGTACGTCTCTGTTAACGTTGACTTGACGCAGCATAGTACGTCTCTATTAACGTTGACTTGACGCAGTACAGTACGTCGCTGTTAACGTTGACTTGACGCAGCACAGTACGTCGCTGTTAACGTTGACTTGACGCAGCATAGTACGTCTCTATTAACGTTGACTTGACGCAGTACAGTACGTCGCTGTTAACGTTGACTTGACGCAGCATAGTACGTCTCTGTTAACGTTGACTTGACGCAGCACAGTACGTCGCTGTTAACGTTGACTTGACGCAGTACAGTACGTCGCTGTTAACGTTGACTTGACGCAGCACAGTACGTCGCTGTTAACGTTGACTTGACGCAGCACAGTACGTCGCTGTTAACGTTGACTTGACGCAGCACAGTACGTCGCTGTTAACGTTGACTTGACGCAGTACAGTACGTCGCTGTTAACGTTGACTTGACGCAGTACAGTACGTCGCTGTTAACGTTGACTTACGCAGCATAGTACGTCGCTGTTAAACGTTGACTTGACGCAGTACAGTACGTCGCTGTTAACGTTGACTTGACGCAGCACAGTACGTCGCTGTTAACGTTGGACTTGACGCAGTACAGTACGTCGCTGTTAACGTTGACTTGACGCAGTACAGTACGTCGCTGTTAAACGTTGACTTGACGCAGCATAGTACGTCGCTGTTAACGTTGACTTGACGCAGTACAGTACGTCGCTGTTAACGTTGACTTGACGCAGCACAGTACGTCGCTGTTAACGTTGACTTGACGCAGTACAGTACGTTGCTGTTAACGTTGGCTTGACGCAGTACAGTACGTCGCTGCTAACGTTGACTTGACGCAGTACAGTACGTCGCTGTTAACGTTGACTTGACGCAGTACAGTACGTCGCTGTTAACGTTGACTTGACGCAGCACAGTACGTCGCTGTTAACGTTGACTTGACGCAGGATAGTACGTCTCTATTAACGTTGACTTGACGCAGTACAGTACGTCGCTGTTAACGTTGACTTGACGCAGCATAGTACGTCTCTGTTAACGTTGACTTGACGCAGCATGTAACGTCTCTATTAACGTTGACTTGACGCAGTACAGTACGTCGCTGTTAACGTTGACTTGACGCAGCATAGTACGTCGCTGTTAACGTTGACTTGACGCAGCATAGTACGTCTCTATTAACGTTGACTTGACGCAGTACAGTACGTCGCTGTTAACGTTGACTTGACGCAGTACAGTACGTCGCTGTTAACGTTGACTTGACGCAGCATAGTACGTCGCTGTTAACGTTGACTTGACGCAGTACAGTACGTCGCTGTTAACGTTGACTTGACGCAGCACAGTACGTCGCTGTTAACGTTGACTTGACGCAGTACAGTACGTCGCTGTTAACGTTGACTTGACGCAGTACAGTACGTCGCTGTTAACGTTGACTTGACGCAGCATAGAAACGTCGCTGTTAACGTTGACTTGACGCAGCACAGTACGTCGCTGTTAACGTTGACTTGACGCAGCACAGTACGCCGCTGTTAACGTTGACTTGTCGCAGTACAGTACGTCGCTGGTAACGTTGACTTGACGCAGTACAGTACGTCACTGTTAACGTTGACTTGACGCAGTACAGTACGTCACTGTTAACGGTACTCTCACGCGCAATACACTGCTGTTAACGGTATTCTCACGCACAATACTCCGCTGTTAACGGTACTCTCACGCGCAATACATCGCTGTTAACGGTACTCTCACGCGCAATACATCGCTGTTAACATTCTCACGCGCAATACACCGCTGTTAACGGTACTCTCACGCGCAATACATCGCTGTTAACGGTACTCTCACGCGCAATACACTGCTGTTAACGGTATTCTCACGCGCAATACATCCCTGTTAACGGTATTCTCATGCGCAATACACCGCTGTTAACGGTATTCTCACGCGCAATACATCGCTGTTAACGGTACTCTCACGTGCAATACACCGCTGTTAACGGTATTCTCACGCGCAATACACCGCTGTTAACGGTACTCTCACGCGCAATACACCGCTGGTAACGGTACTCTCATGCGCAATACACCGCTGTTAACGGTATTCTCACGCGCAATACACCGCTGTTAACGGTATTCTCACGCGCAATGCATCGCTGTTAACGGTACTATCACGCGCAATACACCGCTGTTAACGGTACTCTCACGCGCAATACACCGCTGTTAACGGTTCTCTCGCGCAATACACCGCTGTTAACGGTACTCTCACGCGCAATACACCGCTGTTAACGGTACTCTCACGCGCAATACACCGCTGTTAACGGTACTCTCACGCGCAATACATCCCTGTTAACGGAACTCCCACACGCAATACATCCCTGTTAACGGAACTCTACACGCTTCTCTCAATCTGTTTTTAGCCATTGTTGGTCACATTAACCATGGTTGGTCACATTAACCATGGTTGGTCACATTAACCATGGTTGGTCACATTAACCATGGCTGGTTACATTAACCATGGATGGTTACAGTAACCATGGTTAGTCACATTAACCATGGTTGGTCACATTAACTATGGTTGGTCACATAAACCATGGTTGGTCACATTAACCATGGTTGTCACATTAACTATGGTTGGTCACATTAACTATGGTTGGTCACATTAACCATGGTTGGTCACATAAACCATGGTTGTCACATTAACCATGGTTGTCACATAAACCATGGTTGGTCACATTAACCATGGTTGGTCACATTAACCATGGGTCATACTGATAGGTTATCTCACTAACTAATGATCAAACTAATCTTTATCTTAAATAATCACTGTTGCACGGGTTTTGCGCATTTTTGTGAATAATAATAATAATAATAATAATAATAATAATAATAATAATAATAATAATAATAATAATAATAATAATAATAATAATAATATAAAATCTTGGCATAATTGACTTTTGAGGTATGAGCACCAAGACTTACCTGAATGTAAGGATGGTGAAGGGACGGTATGACTTGTGAGAGAGAGGGTCTGACATAGCCTTGCCCCAGTAGTCATTGAAGAAGATCTGGTGGAGCGGGTTGGTCCCCAAGACGTCTGGGTTGGTCTTGATGGCGCTGACGTCATCGTGGACGAAGTCTCCCGTGAGGCCATTGACGTAGACCAGGACCCCTGCCAGCCACACCGTCAGGTAGAGCCAGGTGGCGGGAGGGTCCTCGCGACCGTAACTCCGGTCATGGGGCCAGGAGGACGGTGCGTGAGACGATGTTAAGGTAGATTTTTTTCTGTTTTTGGGTGAGTTGTGGCAGGAAAACCAGTAGGCTCCGCCTTCATGCATGGCGTTCCTACTATCAGTTCCGTGACGCAGGCGAACACCAGTTCCGCGGTAAACTTGATGTCACCCCAGACATCAAAAAGGAGAGCTTCAAGTTTCAGTTTTAAGTTAGTGGTACTCCCTCTGGGTGTTAAATTCTTCACCACACATGTTTACAGTGCCACTTAAGTTCGCCCGCTCGGTAGGTGCCAGCTGACTTCGTCCAGCATCTATTGTCACTCAGGAAGCTGAGTGGCATCGGACATCACAAACAAGCAGTGTCAACACTGACCACACTGTGATATATATTTCTTCAGTGTATTCCTAGTCCATATCACAAGAATGTCTTAAAGTAACACTGTAAATTAGATAATGTACGGCACATATTTCTTCTACAGATCCAC